TTCGAGCTCGACAAGAAAATTCTCGAACTTCTTTGCAGCCAGGTTCTTCTTCTTGCCATGAACACCTGCAGTAGTTCGACTTGTGGTCCACGAAGTTAATCATGTAGCGGTTACCTTGGCGGTCAAGTGGCGTCATGGGACCCTTCAGGTCACTGCAGATGACTCCTCCGACTTTGTCGATCGGTGCGTGCTCCCCGGTGTCCTTAGTCGGTTGATTCGCTCGAGCCTGTTTACCCTCAGCACAAACCATGCAGGGCTTACGGTCACGATTAGATATCTTGATGCCGGATGCGGGGTCATTTGCCATACGCTCAATGGTGTCCAATGACAAGTGACCGAAACGTGCATGGAAGCCCATCAACGTGTCCGTGGCGACGACCGGCGAGGCTGTGTCCGTACTCGTGTCCACCACGTTCATGATCAGCTGCTCCATCTTCGCATTGCTCGTAGCTACCGATTCAAGTCTAGCCACAAGCACGTTGTGCTTTACGTCGACATAGAATACCACTTCGAGCTCGAGCTCTAGCAGGAAACGCATTCGTTGATGACGATAGTACAATTGAAGCTTTGGTGTACAATTTGGTGGCTATGGTCGAAGTTGGAGTCGATATTCCTGCGATCAGTGAAGATAAAGCGGCGGATAAGGAGGTTATGTCGCCACCAAAGGGAAGTTTGGTTCTTAGTGACGAACTTGGTTTTGGCAAAGAAGATCTGGTAGACTCGGCCAAGTTGGGAGACGCACTCTTTGTTGGTGATGCGGACGATATTGTGGCCGTGTTGGAGTATCTAGTTACTACTGTGATGCATACAAATGAAGATACTGGTGGTGTGGGACGAGAGAGCGGCGTTTTGCTCGATTGCGATAGCGACCTAACTCACGTCGAGTCGACAAAAGAGGTTGAGACTGGAGATCAGAGCTATCCTGACACCGAATTAGAAATATCTAAATCTACCGGACTACTGGGTGGTAGTGTTCCACTAAACTTAAGTGATGTTACTGGCACTTGTAGCCAAGCTGTAAACGTTATTGAAGTCCAGGACGGAGCTGTTGATGATCCAGAGTGCTCGAGCCTTAGCATTATCCAGAGTCTGATAGAAGACATGAAGGAATTGGTGGTGAAGTCGACAGCTACTGAGGTCACGCAGCAAGTTTCGAACTCGACAATAGACAAAGAAATTGTCGGAAAGGCTGAAGAGATCGATACTAAGTCGCTTGAAATCACCAGCGAACTTACCGAAAACGTTGTAGAGCAGATCTTCAACGACCGAAAGGTTGAGGAGGAGATACCGACACAAGATGTAGTACCTATCGAAGCATCTCAAGATGCTATCAGCACTGCAATTGATCAGTCTCAGCAGCTACTCACCGGTATGTTTGATGACGACACATCTGCAGGTGACTTTGCGATCCCGAGTGATGGCGATGACCAAGCAAATAGCCAAAGCAATAGCGACGACGGCGGAAGCAGTATCGATTCCACCGACTTAATGATGGAGGCCGACGCTATGACAAGCATGCAAAATACTCTAGAGACAGCAGTACCAAGCTCTCCACGTCACGCTCGCAAAGCCACACGAATGAATAGTTCCGATTTATTAGCAGACTTGGATCAACTTAACGCCCATGATCCTGAGAATCTCGATAAGTAATATTAAATAGTACACCGAAGTACGTTTCTGAAAGAAAACTCGGACCTGGTACTGAGGACTCCTCAGTGAGGAGACGGTGACTGTTCATTAAACTTTTTTCCAAGATTTTACGAGGTTATTAGAGCGTTTCTGCGCAGTCGACAATGTCCGTGGACGCTACGGTTCGCCACGTATTCGGCTACGACGGCAGTGCCGGCGATTCGCCACCTCTGCAACTCGCAGACGAGTCCACGCTCGTGTACGTAAGTGGCCACACGCTGCACTTCACGTCCACGACGACTCCAAGTCAACACTTCCTGCTACGCTCTCAGCCTCGCAAACTCGTGGCTTTCGACTTCAACTGGAAAACTTCAACTTTCGCCATCGTAGCTCGGGAACCAGACGCGACGATTTCGTTGTACTCGTACCCGGACAAGAAGGTCAAAGACCAGCTAAAGAGCAGTGACGACCAAGTGCTCGAGTATTCTCTAGTAAAGTTTTCTCGCTGTGGACGTCGACTACTGAGTATTCGTCCCGCTCCACCGGATGGAGAAGGGAGAGATCCGGTACTCTGTGTATGGGATGTGGACACACTAACACCCGTACCAGGGTGTGAACACTCCCGTATCTGTGGACCAGCACGCTTCGCTTCGTTCGATCCTGTCAATACAAACCAGTTCATTGTTGGAGGAGACAACGGACTCCAGGTCTGGAAAATATACGCAGGAAAAACCGCCACGTCGAGTTTATTGAGACCGGAGACGGTGACGCTGCCCGCTCCCTTGAAAGACGACGGGGAACAACCTACCGACGTCGATTGGGAAGAGAAACGCACACAGTTTACCTGTCACGCGTGGCTTCCACGTAGTCGCTTCCTCGTTGCCAATCTAGCGGGCGAACTGCTTCTCGTTGATGCTGTGGAAGCCAAAGTGGTGCAACATGTGAAGACCGCAACTCGACCGGATCGTTGCTACATTGCAGGCGTCGTGGCCACAGCGGAGACTGTGGTGGTTGCCTATTCGGACGGAGCATTAGCGTGGCTTCAGATCGAAAACTGGGAGTTAATAACTAGTGGGATACTGCCAGGAGGACTACCAGCTTCGAGTGTCACGGTCATGGCACCGACGCCAACATACGCGAAAGCCTACGTGGGTACTCGCAATGGGAAAATCTTCGAGATCCGCACGACAGTTTTGCAAGACGACGAGGAAGACGTTGAGAACGAAGAGGAAGAGAGTAACACACATCGGTCTTCCCAATCCAGTCGTAGAAACGACGAATTGGCTCTGGTACTTCCATGTGCGAGTTTCCCGACCGGTCCGGCTTGTGATAGCACCGTGTTCACCCCGTTTGGAGGTACATTTTCAGCTGACGCATTGATGGCAACTGGAGGGTTGAATGGCTATCTAGCGCTCTGGGGTCTTCGAGAGTGCCGTCAAGCTGCAGAGATCAACATCGCTGCGTTGTTCTCTCAAGACCCAACTACAATTGGAGCTCCAACGGATTCAAACTTCCGACCAGGAACCAGTACAACTGATCTCACTACCGAATCGACTGCAGCTCTCTCCCTTGTGGTCATTACGGCGCTGGCGTCGCGGCCAGGAGACCCCGTAGTGATGATTGGAGATCATCAAGGAAGACTACGATCGCTCTGCGTTGCTAAACTCGTCGGTGGAGCAGGCAAATGTGATGTCCTCCCGCAACATTCGGTGCAGTTGCTGCCCGTTGATGCACCAATTGACCTTCTAGTTATGCACCCAGTACACCCCGTACTGCTGGTATCTTCTACACATAGTGGACAGGTCTTCTTGGTGTCCATGGACCACGAAAAACGATTCCCAGTCCAAGCGTTTTTCACTCTTCATAAGCCGAATGAACGGATCGTAGACATGCAGTGGAGCTCCACAAGTAGTAGCAGCAACAGTACCCTCACACTCACATGTTTCTCGTCACGTGGAGTATTCTACAGTGCACGATACCAGGCCCCTCCTCAAGAAGATATCTCGGTAGGCAGTGCAGCCTTTGGTCGTCGAGACGTCTCTCCAAGAGGAGCTTTGCAGCTTGCTCCCAAGGTAATCGCCTTTGGTGAAGCGGTTCTACCCGTGTGCTCTCGCCTACGTTTCTTGTCGGCTTCTTCCAGTAGTTTGATGATCGCAACCTCTCCGGATCGTCCAGAGCTCACGCTCTTGAAATACCGCGATGTGCTGCGTGAATCCACGGACGAGATTGGTGTTTTCTCCAAAGTTCTCATCAAGCGAGCTCATGCTCGTGGAATCTCGGCCGTAGCTCTCTTTCCTCGCGTTCTTCAGGGAGATGTCGAGCTGCTCGTTACCGGTGGAATGGATGGTACGATCACGCTTTGGACACTCGCAGCTATAAATTCCCGGTATCAAGCTAAGACTTCAATAGAAAGTGACAGTGCGGGTACTTCCAATGAACTGCAAGACTTGCAAGCCACTAAGAAGCGTACGCTGGTGCTTCACAATGGTCCAGTGACAACCTTAAAGTTCATTTTCTCTAAGGGGGGGACCCCTTCTGAAAGTGGCGGCCCGGCAAACATCCAATTGGTTTCTACAGGTGTGGACGGTTGTGTCTTCCTCCTGGATGTACGAATGTCGGCTGAACTACACGCTGAAGGTATGAGTCTGAGCGGCACACAGAGCTCCGATCCGACCATGAGTCCGCAGTATATGAACGTGGTTTCAACCGCCAAATACGACGACGTTTTCCAGCCTGAACGGGAGCAGGAGCATACGTCGTTCCTTGAGGCTCGGACGCGTGCTGAGACGATGGCAGCTCGGGATCGCTTCGATCGAGGCAAGGACGCCACTCGTATTAAACTACGAGAGCTGGAGGGAAGACTCAAAGGGATGCTGGCTGAGAACGAGCAACTGCCAGAGAGTGAACAGCTCGCACGGGAAGAATTCGTGCTCAACGTAGCGTGGCGCGACAATCTGCTGGCTCAACACGCTGCACGCGCTCAACGTGTGCGCGAAGGAATCGCACGTGACCTCGCTCGAATGGCAATTGTTCGTGAGCGAATGAAACGTGAATTCTGGGACGGAGCTGAAGTTCCTGGTGTCCGTCTCAACGCTCTCTCGCCTCCCATTAGCACTGGGACTCAGCAGCATCAACAGTCGACAACAGGACAGTCGGCCCCAGCTTTCGTCAATAACTTCCCAATGCGACGACAGACTCCACGCGAGCAAAAACTGGCAAAGCAGGTCGCAATGCTTCGCCTCGTGGAGTTTTCCCATCATCAACAAGAAGACCGCGAGGGTTCTTCATCCGATGTACGCACAAGATTCCAAGACACAGTTCCCAGCGACCTGGAGTGGGTTTTAAACACCAGAGCGCTGCATCCAAAGCCTCAACAAGGCTCCTCTTTAACGGATGCTGACGTATTTGAGAACGCGAAGATGCCGAGCTTCCACTTTGTGTATCACCCTGCTGCTGTACGCACACACAAGCAAGCTCGAGTTCAAATGCACCTTCTTAACTGCTACGCCCGTGAGCTTCGACATGTTTTTAACGCTGAGTTCCAGGAACTTGTGCGTCAGAAGGAGACTGCGATGGAGCAGATTGACGCCAAGAACGCTCGTATTATGGAGATCACGGCCGAACTGAACGTCGGAAATGCTGGAGACTTGTTCAAGCCGCAGTGGGCGTCAGAAGAGAAAGCGGATTCTATTCTAAAGGTTTCATCGGAAGAAATGACCCAGAAGCCGTACGAGACCACTGAGCGACGCAAGCAGCGAGAGCGAGAAGCTCAGGAAGCGACCGAGAGAGAGAAGGCGCGTAAGAAAGACGACGTTGGTGGGCGGGCTTTAATAGATATGATGGACGGCACCTTGGAGGTGAGGAAGGACCCGCTAGCAGCTCAGGAACTGGTGAAAGAAGCTTGGATGCTGACTATCCCACCCGAGGAGATGACAGCGGAGCAGAAGAAACTTGTAGCGCAATTTGAAGCTGCTCAGGCCAAATTTGAAGAGGAGAAGGAGAAGTACCGCAAAAGTCTGGACTTGGAGCTACGCAAGACTCGAGGAGAAGTGATCGATCTGTGTCGTGCTTTCGATGAGAAGCTGCGAGCTTTGCGTGATCGATACATGGCTACACATCGCGCTGTACTCGCTCAAGAACTCTACGAACTCCGTTTAGGCGAAGAACTTATGGCTCGTGAGCAGTTGGAGATCGAGACGGAGCGACTTGAAGACGACGCGCGGGAAATGCAAGACATCGAAGCTCGAGCTCAAGCGGAAAGCGACCGCTTTGCAGCACAGCTGGAAGCCTGTCGCGAAGAGTTTCATCGCGCCACTGAAGAAGATAAAACACTCGAGAAGAGCTTTATGCGCGAGCTAGAGGAGATGGTTCAGAGCAGTGGAAGTGCAGGAGGTGGGACGCCAACAGCAAGCACGAGTCAACTGGACTCCCCAGAGATCACCAAGCATCTCGTCGAGCTTTACCGTAAACGTAAACCGGATGATCTTGTACATGTCCGAGACGGGACGACAAGCCAAGAGTCTATCAAGCGTGAACCTTCTATTGGAGCAGTGGTCCGCTCGAAGGGCAGCGCCAAGCAGCGTCTACTGGCTGAAAGTCGTAGCGGAGAAGGCGGGTCTTCACGTTCACTGTTGGTAAAGCAATCGTCCAGCAAGAACAATCTCGATTCTGAAGCCAATCTAGACCCGTTCCAACATCTAGACAAAGAGCAGCGTAGTAACTCGAGACGTGGAAGCTTTGCGGGTGTCGAATCCGGAAGCCAGAAGCTCGTTGTGACGCCTCTGGACTACGTTGCGGATCGTCCGGAAGGTGTCCTGATCGAGGATCGGATCTGGAGAGCCTTAAATGCTCTGCGTGCCAAGAAAATCCTCGCAGAGCACGCAGTACGCGATAAGACGGAGTTGCTGACGCTCGCTAAAGCTGTCAGTGACGAACTTCGAGTTAATTTATCAGAATTACAGCGACAGCGTAGGAAGCAGAATCGTGAACGAGAATCGTTGACTCAACGTCGCTCGGCATGGGCGGAGAGTGCACCTTTACTTGTACGCATTAAACAGGGTCAAGACGAAACGCCAGTCGGTAGTAGCGGAGACGACGCGCTGCTCGTTGCTCGAACGAGCGTCGAAGCGCTAAATGATGTGATCCAGCTACACGGCAAAGATCAAGTCGGTGTCCTCGGTCGTATTAAAGACTTTCGCAAAAGTATCAACGTTATGGAATGGGAGCACGCGTTGCTGGAGCTTCAGGCTCGCGATATGGATGAACGCTACACAGACATCCAATTGTTGCGTGTGACTAAGGACCTGCAAGAGCTCTTTCATACTGGAGACACATCTCACAAACAGAAACGTCAAGCAGCCATGCTCGAGGCCAAGTTGGCGCATTTAGGTCGGCACCATCAAACCACGTTGCTCAAGTTGGAGCGAACGGGTTCTCATCTAGAGCATCAACTGCAAGAACGTGAACGTGAGAACCAGAATTTCCAGCAACAAGTAGCTCAACTCGAGACTCAAGTGCAGATTCGTGAGGATATCTTAGCAAGTCGAACCAGTGCAGCCATGCGCCAGAAAAGAAGCGGAGGTGCTCGGGGCGATGATGCGAGACTCAAGGCTATTGCTGTGAGACGGAAGCTAGTGGATCTGGCAAAAGCCCAGACGGACGAAATTGAGTACTTGCGTCTTGAGCTTGACAAAATGAGACGACGTACGTTCCCAAGCTTCGCGCATGTGAATGCCCGTGAGTATCACGACGTGGACTGAGACCACATCGTGTGATTTACTCTGGACATATTTCAGGCTAGGACACTCTTACAAATTTAAGCTAAAATGTAGTGAAGGTCCATCGAATTTCTGGAGACTACATGTACCGGTACGCATTAATCCTTTGGAAGCTGTATTAATAAATTTGGCATTCTAATCTGTCGATACACCAGCCAATATGTGTCGTAAGACTAAACTTCTCTGTAATTTCTTATCTCTCGCGACCATAAACTTTTAGCACACACGTGCAAAGTTTTACAAACGGAGGGCATACGCAGAGTCGTGCGCGCATGAGAGCAGGTGTATCTATAACAAAGAGGAACGGTCAGCACCAGATTCAACGGTAGTGTATAGAGCAGATGCTGTTAACAGGCATGAAAACATCGTGAATAGCGATCTCTTCGTTCCAGTGCCATATATCACAATTTTTCGCTCTTTTTGGGTTATGGGGCGCAAGTTTAGGCCAAGTACGCGAGCACGATATGGGGTACGGCCAACGTGTAGCTGCTCATACGTTAGAAAATTTGAGATCGTCATTTTTCCTTCCGGAGAGCTAACGCCGTGTAAATTATTCAACTCAAGGACCCTTCGTGGTACTGTAGTTTTCGTATTAATACTTAAAAATACGCTGAGTGAATTTAAGTTATTTGCCCTACAAAATCAGCAAAGGTTCACTAGTTAAAGGGTTAACCCTTTTTACCCTTTTTAACCCCTTAACAACTACATGTAAACCTAAAAATGGCTACATGCAAACAAAAAGCTGGGAATGAAAAAATACATACTTAAATCGCTCCAGTGTATTTCCATCTCTCCCAACGAGAATGAGATATTCTCACTCGTCACTGAGAATCACTAAATTCAAAGTGATCACAATACGTACTGTAGCACATCAGTACGAAGGATTCCTTTGAAAAGAACGGTACAAATTGTACTACAATGCCGGGGGCAGATAACAACAGGCACCGATTCTCAGCGAAAGTCGATTAAGGGGTAATGATCCCTTTTACGTGTCGGAATTAGATTCAGAAGCTCACATTAACTCGCGCGACAGTCGCATTAACTCGCGCGAGTTAATATGAATCATACCCGACAGTCAGATTAACTCGCGTAAGCTAATATGAATCTATACCGTGAATCTTACGGACAGCCATATTAACTCGCGCGAGACCTTGGGCTCGAGGTTGCCCTGAAAATATTCACAAGATCCACTTCAGAGGTGGTCTCCGCTGCAAGACTGCTGCAGCTCGAGCTCACTGCTGTTGCAGGGCGAAGGCAATTCTCAGAATATGTGGCTCAAAGTTGGCTGTAAAGGGAAGTGAAGGTGTTATTGGTGTATATAAATCGTTTCTGAGGGGACTTTGTGGTACGGGTACCTCGTCTTGATTAGTGACGCAGAGAAGGTTTTGTATGACATTGAAAAGCTGAATGCGCCTTAGTAGGGATCCGTTTTTCTGCACTTGTAGGACCTTTTCATGTCATCTTGAATACGTTTTTCAAATAAAGGATTTTTGGATGCTTAGTGCGCCACTAATAGTGCCTGCTGCCTACAAAGCCTCGTCTTACTGTAAAGACGGTGAGATTTGTTGCACGACCAGTCTTTGCTCATTTAGCTGTGACGTATTTGTTGTCACAAATCGGTAGTAAAATGTTGAGACGTTGTTCTTGTCTCCACAAAATGTGTCGACGCAAAATCGTTGTACCTCATTTCTGGTACAGCTATCAGTGTCCAGTCAGTCATGCTCACTTCTAAATACTCCTGCCATGAGCCGCCGCAATGCTGGAAGAGGACGGGGCTTCACTACGCCTCAAGTTGAACGTACGTACCATAATGCATCACAAACAGGATCTCACGAATACATTTAGCGTTGCTTTTACTATTGCTGACCTCCTATCCAGTTCCACGATCTCGACTAGCATGCAACGTGTACCAGGGAGACTTAGCAGGATCAATGTGTTAGAACATTGCGATCAAAAGCATACATACAACGCAGCCGTAGAAGCAGCAACACCTGCTTCTTTAAACGCGCATTCCGGTGCTCGCACGCTAGCACGGGCCCTAGCCATCAAAAAGGTGAATGGCCCGCGTACATGTACCCATAACGTTAAAAGTGTTGATTTTGGTATGATAGCAGACATATCACAAATTCGACATATATTTCAACACATTTCACTATCACATTTGTGTTTGTGATTGCATTTGTGTAGGTTTTGGAAGAGTTCCATTGAGTGAGTCTACACTTATGTAGACTCAGTTTAGACTAGACTCAATCAAGCTTTGGATTACATTTAATTCCGACGTGGCGTATGGTCGGTGTGAAAAACGAATTGGTGATATTTTACAAAATGGGCATCTGAAACACAGTCTCCAAACAAAGATTTAATATTAGAAATGCGTGCCTAATTAGAGTGGGTTGCGCTGAACAATTTCAAAACAGTCTGAAAAATGCTCCTCGATTTTGTTTAGGAGCGGCATAAATTTTGAGGACAGATCTCATGATGCCGCTCATAACTCCGTATGGTGCTGAGTTATGGGCGACATACAATGTATGATACATGTACTGTAGCAGAAGATTATGTGCCATTGGTGAACACCATATTTGCCACTTACTATTTTAGGATTAAATCACGGCTATTGATGCGAGTCTCATTTAAAAAAAATTTGTTATTTTTTTTACACATGCAGTACGCCATAAGCTATAAACCGTTTGTGTTATTAATAGTGCCCTGGTATGTATAATAGGAAAGAGCAAACAAATTTTACAATAATACCACAATGGTACAAGTTCTGTTTTAGAATTTCGACTCACAACGTGCGTGCAGCACGAACAATGCTGCAGATCCGAAAACAGGCGCAGGAGACACGATGAGTCTCTCAACCAACTTGATTATGTGCCATTGTGTGCTTACAATCAATATGTGGGAAGCCCAGGTCCAAAACGATCCATTCTTCACTTTTCATCATCGAGCGTGCTTCTCCGACTCCTTTCAAGATAAAAATGCGCCTTGCCACCATCCTGCTCGCTGCTTCGCTATGTGTCTCCGGAGACGCACTTCCGGTGCAAGCGAATACCTTTGATGGTGCGCAAGAAGCGGCAGCCATGGGCAGAAAACTACTGCGCTCCGGTGAACGTTTCAGCGAAGTCACTGAAGAGAGAACTCCATTGAGCACGCTTTTGAAACTTGACGATGTCGCTGAAAATGAAGTGGCGATGATCAAGCAACTAGCTCCGACGTTTGCGAAGTACAACCAGAACAACAAGCAAGCGACTGACGTTTACAACATTTTACTTCGTCGCGGAATTTCGTTTCGAAGTGCTGAAAAGGCGCGCGGCCTATACGAAAAGTATCTTCTCAAACCTAATGCTTTTCACGCTTAGAGTGAGTCTGAGAGCTAGTGCCATACATGTAGTACGTAGTATTACGGTAGTGACATTAGTAGAAAAACGCTTCTTCTTAATATCACGAGTGAAGTATCGTTATCTCCAATAACTAGATCGCTTACGCTTATGCCGGGAGGTTTTCCATGTACAGCATGTTCTGTAGAAATGAGTCTAACGTTAAGTGTATTAACACATCGACGATTTGATGAAGATTGTTTTATTACTGTAGTACATGTACTGTAGTAGTACGTAGTATTATTGTGATCTGCTTGCCGTTGTCACTTTTCAGCATATTTACAAAGATTCTTGCTTCTATTGATACACAGAAATACATATGTACTGGGTAGCATGCATCGTACTATTATATACCAGTGAAGCTATCGTTGCTGGAAACGTCCTCCCAGTATGAGCTGCACCCATACTGGTAGGGCGAAGAAGGCTAATACAATTGAATTAATCACAAACACCCCCCGGCCCAGCGAGTGGCTCACCCAGATTAATCAAAACGGTTTGATGCATAGGCTAGCGTCACATTCTAGGTTTAACCATTGTGCTAAACATGAAGCACCCTCAATCCTTCAAATGCGTTCAGGAACTTGTTGTGGCATTGATTGTCATTAAGTTGAGCGAAGGTTGTCAAAAATTATAGTGGACTGAACTTCAGTCCACTGTAATGCAATATAATGTCTGTGATGCCCCTACAGCTACACTATTCCGTATCCCTCCCGTAAAAGGAGAATGTATAGAGAGCTTAGCTCCTGGAATAAATCTAGGTTCGGAACAACAACTTTAAGGAAAATAGTAGATCCCGATGGTCCATAAATACTACTTCGTAGTAAATAGTAAAACCTCACTCCTCTACCAGGTTAACAGCCCATCATGTTACTCAGGTCGTCTTAAGTAAGCAGGTCATTGCTAGAGCTAGAAGGTCTATATAAGGCGCCAATATCTGCATATATGAACATGGTGAGGAAGCATACCGGTTTAGAGAAGCATAAATGCGAATGTACTTCGCTGTGCGTTTCCAGGTCTAACGTGGAGACACACAGGCAAATTATACTGAAGCTGTATTTATGGATTTAGGTATGTAAGTCAGGTGTTGGATGTGGTGTCGAAGTTGCAACCTAGAATGCACTGAGAAAGAGTAATATTAGAGCAGTGTGGCAGCACACCTGGGAAAGCTCTAACGAGCGTTAGAAAAAGGTAAATTGAACGAAAATGCTACTTTCAACATGGACGAAGCACATTTTGGCATCACTACAGGCAAGACATAGTGCGGTACGTCACACTCGTACATCGTCAGGAGCGCTTTGAATATGATAGCTGCAGTTTTGATTCTGGACTATCATTATATTAATAGCTGGCTCACAGCGAGCACGTGACATAGGACAAGTCGTATATAATCTATATTGTGGACAATGCAAGCGGTCATAAAATGGAGGAGTGTTACGACATTTTGCCATCGATATAACTTTTTTTTTTAAAATATGTAATACTCCTGCCAAAACAAAACAAACATTATTAGACTTTGTATTTGTGTAACTCGGAGATTTCGATGTCACAGAGCCACTATCTGCTCAACGACACTTTTAGTGTGTCCCTCACTAATTACGCAAGGACACCATTAGTTAATACCGTAGCACACACTAATACTTCACCTCGTGTGTCAAACCTTGATGCGCAAATACCGTGGGCCACACTGTATACACTTTTGCTGTAGCTATGCTTTGCAGATGAGATGTCGCTCCGTTTTATGACTTTGAGACAGGTTTAAAGTTTAGGAGGCGGGAAATTCAAACTTGTCATGTTGCCCATCCGATACACTTCAGCCCGCGTCCTCCATCATAGAGACGAGCTTCAAGTTCACTGGGCTGCACTCCGACTTTGCTCAGCAATACTACGTGAACTGAACAGCACCGCGCAGCTCTCGGACGTCAACGGAGATACTCTCCCCAGCACTATGTAGCACAGCTCAGTACCAATTCGTTCTCATGGGGCGATATACCTGGTCTTCTACAGCAGCCTTCCTCTGGGACGCTGGCTACGTACAGACGCTCACACGCACGCTAGGCAAAGGCTATACACGATGCGGTCGGTCCATGGCGGAGTTGGTTATGCTTCCTAAGGCCTTCGAGCACCGGTTGCCAACTGTGCGTACTACATGTACCAGAAGGGATAACCTTCCATCGATCACTTGAATACAGGGTCTCATAGCTCTTGGGAGCAGTTTATTGAGAGCTTAAAAGTCCGTGGTGTGCAGTGCAAAGATCGGATTAAGCTGCCCGTCCGAGTCCACGTAGGCGTGACGCTGCACTATCACTTCTGGTTGCGTGTCGGTCTCTCCGCCGTCTCCCTAGACTGCCGCATATGTCGGTGCGATAAGTCGTCAGATGCCTACAGCGCACTACTAAATGTGTACCCCCGTGCCCGACTAATAATCGCCATTGAGGTGGCTCGACCGATGACACAACACCTTGGTAAAAGGACAAAAAATGGACCAAAAGTTAGCGCCTTCGCTATGTAGCAATACCATCGCTTACACGGTCCTTCTTCCATGGACATCAAGCCCTCTACGATATTTATCCGGGTGTGTCACTAATAACAGCTCATTTCTATATTTTGTCGTTTTATTCTAGGACATAATTCACAGTTTACTTTAGTTCAGAATGTGGATGACACTCAAAAACGGAGTCTTCAAAGTCCATCTGAAGAAAGATTTGTTATATCCGACAATTCCGCACTTAAACTGGAGCTCAGCACCATTCTTACAAACCCCAAGAGGCAAGCTCCGTCGTACTTAAGCGAATTTGGTTTATTTTTGTCTAGGACAAAAAATGTTGGGGCTAATGTTGCGTGTGCGGCTTCGATTATTAGTTTCTGGCAGATTAACAGTATCACTTAGAAGTTTAGCAAGGTAATTCATCTTCATTTTTGAAAAATGGGTCAACCTACGTGCATAGTTTTATTTGTGCAAAGGAAGCTTTTTTCTTAAAAAATGCTTTAGCAGAGCACTTTAACGATGCTAAGCTGTTATGACAGGGTATAAGAAATCGCTGGATTATTACTTCCATTTTGAATTAAATTTCCGAAGCAAGAAACTTTGTGGTGCTTTCTAGTAAAAAAAAAACGAAACACACTTTCGTGCTGCTATATTGCAGCTTGGTCTACATGTTTTCCAACTTGTTGAGTTCAACCTCTTTAATAAAAGCAGGTTCCCAATTTCCATAGTCTGGACTAAAGATCTAGAGCAATGCAGGAGCATAAACACTCTGCTGGTTGTCAGTCGAAGGCGCCAGCACGAGATGTTTCAGGGTTGTCAAATGATCCAAAACGGTCTTGAGCTGCTCAAGCGCACGTCTCTCTCGCTGCTGATTCATGACAGTCGTGGAGTTCCAGGAGACAAGGATGGAATCCACTTGGCGAATCAGTATTGCCCAGTCCGCGAAGCGATGTTTCTGTGCCTCATAGTGTCGCTGCTGCAGCAGCCATCGATTGAGGCTGCTAGCCACCATCTCGGCACTATCAAGAGCGCTTCCACCTTGTATGAACAACTGAACAACCTCAATAGCCGTGTGCAGCAGTTCCAGCGAAGCCACCGACCCAGCGCGACGAACAACCAGTGCTGCCACGACGGCGGCCTTGTTAGTGACTAAGTATTCATTCCTTGAGCTCGCACGACGTGTTACAACTGCAGTTTGCATCGCTGTAAACGCATTCACAGCCTGTAAGGCCGCTGCGTGCTGCTGAATCGCATCGAGTTCATCCCAAACTTCATCCTGTAAGGCTTGCTCCAACAGCGTCATGAGTGGAAGCAGCAGCGCCGTTGAAGCCGCTTTCATCGATCCCGAGGGTTTGGACGACGTCCCGTATCTCAAGAATTGCGTCGCTAGCCATTCCAGCAACGCTGCTTTAGTCACCAAGTAGACGCTTCCCGACGGTGTACGCAGTGCTGACAATAGAATACTCGTGATCAATGGCTGCGTGTGCGTATCAGCCAGTTCGGAGGTGAAGAAGCTCAACAGCATTGGAAGAACGTGGCGGCGTTCGAGTAGCGCCACGTCGTCATCGCTGCGTACACCTCGACGAAGCGTGTGGAGAAGCCACGAACGCTCTTGGCGATAAGTTAGCGGCGCTCGACTGTTAAACAGCGAGTAGAACATCGGCACATCCGCCAGATCCATCGCTGGACGAGCCAACAGGAAGTGGTTCACTTGCGGGTACAGCACGTGTGTTGGTCGAGTTAGCACAGCAAGCGCGTCGTTGAGGAAGACAGTAACCACGGACGGAACCTGCAACAGTGGCTCCTGGACGCCACGGCGGAAGACGTCCAGTAAGAGATGCACCTGTCGTCCCGCCTTGAACTCACTTGTAGTTTCTGTCGTGGCCTGCAGAGATTCATGCAGATGGGCCAGAATACCATAAGCGTATTCACGAATCTTCTCGACGTCGGACGAGGTGGCACGGATGGCTACACCCAGCAGACCTTGCTGCACAATGCCACCGTCGGGCAGGTCTGACGAGGAGATGAAGTGTGACAGCATTGGCAAGAGGAAAGCAGGGTCGTAGGCTTCGGCCCGCTTCTCATCGGTCTCTAGACTCTGCTCCAAATCATCACCGCGTTCGGTTGGAATATCTTCATCAAGCTCCAGTAGCAATGCGTCACTGGCCGTCGAAACTTGGCGATCTAAAGGGAAGTGTTCAATGGTGGAACGAATACGGTTCTGTTCAAGACCTCCGCCAAGAACCCAGGCTGAATCGTCCACCAGGTCGTTGTGAGAGCGCTTTGACGCTTCCGTCGAGGGCGCTACTGTAGACGACGCGCCGAAGCGGAACCCCATGCTCACCAGCGTCAGTTCCTCTTCCCGGAATCCCTGAGTCTCAAACTCCTCGAACAACACTCGCAGACTGCGATCGAACGACGAGAGCGACATCGAATAGCAGCTTAGCAACGTCTGCAACAGCGAGCGCGTGTACTGGTGTGTGATGCGAGCAAGTCGCGCAACAACGCGAATGACGCGAAGACGCACGGCATCATCGTCCACATTCTGCAGCGTGGGAGCAAAGCACGGATGCTGCACGACGACTTCGAAGTGGGCATCAAAATCGAAGTCTACAGCACTGGCATCGTTCCCCACGAGACGTAGTAAAGCTGCTGTCAAGTCCACTAAGCCTTGGAAGGCCAACTGATTGGCACTTTCTCTGATGACTTCACGCGCTTCGGCAAGTAGCGGGAGAAGCATCTTCAACGCGGATAGTTGTGCGTCTTGATCTCGACGCTTCAAAGACCCGACAGCATTCTCCACCAGAAGCACGGTCGCTTCAAACTCATGGAGCCAGTTAGCCTTGTCACTCGCTGCCTTCAGGGCAGACAGACCGCTTCGAACAAGGACAAGCAGTAGACTAACGTCCACACTTGCGATGTTGCTATTGCTGCGTAACAACATAAGTAGTCCCAGCAGCTGCACAGACGTCAGAGCCTCGTCACGTTCCGACCTGGCCAGCTTTGTCACGACTGCACTAAGAGACGCATCCATCTTGTCTACCTCCTCGCTTGAAGCATCGATAGAAACGTGCTTCAGTACTGCGAGTTCGGCCGAGTAACTCTTCAGCGAGCCCAACAGCACACGCTCATAGCAGACTGGAATCAACGCGTCCACAAATTGACGCGAGCTACCAACACGCGTAAACACGTTGTACATCGCCGCCACCAGCTCACACTTCACTTGCACATTCTTCTCGCGCCGGAGTCGCTTCAACAGGTGCTCTTCAAGCACACCTGGGAACACTGCTGCCTCCTTGTCACTCTGAATCGCACCGATAATTCCTCGCAGAACCTCAGTACAGCTCGATGCTGATTGCGCACTTCGTGAAACAAGTGACGCAAGGAAATCCTCCACAGAACCCACAGCGATAGACGCATCGATGCCGCCCAAATGGCGAAGAACCATAAATCCAGTGGTGAAAAACGACAATTGTCTTTCACTATTCTGGCTGCTCAATAGCTGCCACAGCTTCCGCGTGAGCAACTTGGCACGCTTGTATTCCGCGAACGAGTCGTATTGCTTGTCCATATCATGGCCGCCTAGAGATTCCAGCACGCGTGAGACGAGCACAACATGTGGGGCACTGCTACTGGCACTGTACTGGTGCAACAGCCTGTCGAGCACGGGGAGTCGAACACTGATAGGAATGCTAGGAGCTAACACCGCGACCAGCGGCACACCAGCCCGTTGGAACAGACCGCCAATATCGCACAGCGTACCCAAGTCCGTGTCTGGGTTCTTGCTGGAATAAACTCGTAGAGCAAAGATCTCCACAGCGGACAGCTGTCGCCACAACGCGGCGTTTGGAGTGCTGGTAGTCACTGCTTGTAACTTGAAGAAAATGCGCGTCACGATAGAAGGCGAAGCAGCTTCATTAACAAGAACGACGGTCAGTAGCTGTAAAAACAGCTCGCAAAGCTGGTTGTTTACTGTTTCCAAGACACCAGCCTGGCTTGAGAAGAAGAAGAATAGGAGTTGTTCGCACATGCGGGCAGCCTCCGTCGCGGCCAACTGGTGATCCGTGACTCTACGTTTCGCCATGCTTGATACCGTCGAAATCATCGAATCCTGCTCCTTGGTCTCTTTTCCCGCGATGTTGAACAGAACGTGCTGGAGAATAGTACTCGCAGGAACTATCTTCGTGAAAGCATCTGCTGCTGCAGTTTTGGCTGGCTGCTTCTTGGGTTTCGCTGTAGCTGGTGACGTCAGTAGAGACAGGATATCCACGTCTGCATGCGCCGACAAATAATGGAGCACCGGGCCGAATAGTTCATCTAAGTCTGCGCAGTTGCTGACAATATGCTCCCAGAATGAAGTAAAATCAGCTGGCGTCATGGCCACCAACGCAGCCGTAAGCGAACTCGGGTCACAGTAGCGGTGCCATTTGATGCTAGACGCTCGTGCTTTCTTCTTGGGCGTAGCAGTGTTGCTAGAAGTGCGCTTTCCTGAAACAAGCGCCTCGCAGTGATTCTTCAGCCACACATAAGCATCGTCACGACCAGACTCATCAGCTCCCTCTGACCGCTTCCGCTTCTTGCCGCTGGAATCGTCGCTCGAGGTCTCATCATTCTCTTCTTCATGAGGTTTCGACGTAGAGATGTCCACAGTGAAAGCATCCTTGCTAGCAATCAGATCGACTAATTGCTGTGGATATTTGCTGGTTTGCGTCAAGGCCAGCAAGATACGCACAGCATAAGTCACAACGGATGGGTCAGCACGGTACGCCGACAAGTTCGGCTTCCCTGCTCCATCGGGCGAATTGAGGAATCCCACAAGCGCGACAGTAATCGGACTCAACGAGGACGAGCAAGACGCGTCTGCCATCACACGACGACCCACCGCAACGTACATGAGTGGATCAGCCATTGCCGCACGTGCAAGGCGTTCAGTGAACTCAGCGCAGACTTCGCTCCCACTCTGACGCAGACTCTCGAGCCAGAATTGAACTTCTTCGTTCGCACGTCCATCAGCATGTAGAGTTTCATGTCCAAAGATGTCCGACGCCAGTAACGTTCGCTGAAGTACTTTTCCTGCCAGCTCCTGGACAGCCTGACTCGGCGTTGAGACGTACAAGAGCAGCATCTGCTGCAGCTTCGAGTGCTTGCCCGAGTTTCCACTTGTGAAGAGAAAGCGCAGTCGCGGGGTATCCACAGCAAGCAGGAAGCGCAGCATCTCACCAACAATCAAACTCTGCATGGGTTGCGGTAAGGAATCTTCAGCTTCCTTCCCGTCCAAGTAGCGCCACATCAGTGTCTTAGTAAAGTCCACCTTCACCTCACGCATCGTCTGTGGCAGGCACTCCAGATACAGACGGAACACAGTAAGTGCGCGCACGTAGATCAACGCCATTTTGCGCTCCTGAGACGCACACAGCTTGAGAAGAAGCGAGACGAGAGCCTCCGGACTCGGAAGTAGGAAACGCAGCTCTGATTGCACTTCTGCAGCAAGACCCAACGACTCCAGTGTCGAGGCTAGGCGCACATAACGCTTCAGTGTTGCCTCGATCACACCCAAGGACGAGTAGATAACCAGATTGTTGGTGTGCTGGATACAACGAGAAAGCTCCTTGCGGTAGTTGCCCGGCGCGATAAGCCGCGACGCGACGGACTGCGCGGAACACCACGATGATAATGCACCTTCATTCTCAACAGTAGGCAGTCCAGTAGCCACCGCATCTAGGGAGCACGACAGCAGCTTCTGCACCAGTGAAGCCACACAGAACCAGCGATACACTGGCTTAGGCTCCAGCTGAACGGACAACGCAGCGAGATATTCCGACAGGAAACCAGGATACTTTGCGAGGAGCTGCATCACGAGCGTCTGAGCTTGAGTACTGCGTAGAAGCTCATTCACACCAACAGTTCCGACTGCATTGCGGATCACCTTGAGAGCGTAAGCCTGTTCCGACGTCGTGGCTTCTTCGTCTCCGTGAGGGTTTGAGGCTGATTTGGCTAAAAACAGTCGCAGCGCCTGCTTCTGAGGCACCACGTACAGTGCGCTGTCCTCAAAGAATAGTGCGTTCAATACTCCCAGCGCCGTATCCCGCACAGACTCGTCATCTTTCACTTGTAGTAGTGACAAGAGTTGATGCACACACGTGGCGTTAAAAACTATGAGCTTGCTCTTGTGCTCCACTTCCGGGTTTTGCAGCACCAATTCCCCCAATCTGTTGAAAATAGTCGTCAACATCTCAGTCGAGTCTCCGTCCATGCTCTTTAACAGTGACGCCGTGACGCCTCCCTCCTTCACGGCAAAGCGGTGCACACTCTTGTCAGGACAGGCTGTGAGTGCCAGCACCAAGTCCACATAGGCCGCTCTGAGCTGGAATGGCGCCTGTTTTACTTCTTCTTCATCCACTTCGGGCTTTTTCCAGCGTCTTGTGGCCAGCTTGACGAAGGCTGGGCACTGGAAGTTGAATAGCCGAACTAGCTCTCTAGCGGAGGATCCACTTACTTTCGCTACTGTTGCGAGCAGTTCCAGGGCTCGGAATTCGATCAGTGGCTTGTCGCTCCAGCTCAGTAGCTTCTCGAGCTGTGAAGTTTTCTCGCGCACCACGCGGAGAGCGAAAAATTCGGCCTGGGCGGCATCTTGCTGTTGTTGCGTCTGTAACAGGTGTGTCACTACGTGAAGGAACGTTGCGAAGCTCTCGCGTTTTTCCCAGCGACTGCCAGCGCCATGTTGATCAGGCCACACGCGCAATAGCAGCTCGCCCTGTGGGTGGACGGTCAGGAACTGGAGACACAGCGAGGCCGCGCTCTCGGCGGTACATTTTGCTGCGTCATTGGAATCTTTGGGTGGAGATAGAAGCAGCGAGCGCGAGAAGGACAAGATGGCGTCGTCCAGAGGCTGGCGGTCGCGCTCCGCCGCTAAGAGCAATTCGCGCAGCGCCGCCATCGGTCACAATTGTTGGTGTCCAGGACGCGTATACTACCGGTATACACTCGAGGAGTACATGTAGTAAATGTTTTGTTATGTCCACCAATCACAGAGCGTGGAAAATGTTACTTAGTATTATACTTTTGTTGCACTTCAAGTGCAGCGGACGATGCTGAAGCATGGGACCCGTTTGAGCGTGTTGGGGGCGTCGGGTGTGGCGGTGTCGATCTATGCGATCCACGTGAAGAGGCAGAAGATGAAGCTGCACGACGGATACGTGGCACTTTGCGACTCGGAAACATTCTCCTGCTCGCAGGTTGGTCGAACTCCTCTTGAACATTTGCAAAGTGCTGACACGTCGATTGAGTCAATTCATTGTAGGTATTGACGAGTGAATACAGTGCTTTGCTGTCGCACTTAAATCTTGTGGGGAAAGCCTCGATATTAAACGTGTCGAACGCGCACTTGGGGGTGTTGGCGTACTCCCTATTCACGCTGTACCCGGTGGTACGGAAGATGCCCTATCACGCGCAGTTTTACACTGCTGTGTCGAGCTGTATGGTGGTGCGTTTAATAAAACAGGACAAGAAAGTGGGGTCAAAGTAATTATCAAAAACTCGCATTTAACTGCTTCTGTCGCAGGTGGTGATGGTGTACTTGGCGTACATTTTGGCATTCGTGCTGCGCGACTTTTGCATAGTGTGCGTGGCGACTTATGTCATCACGGGAGCACTTCTGTGGAGCTCACTGATGCTGCTTCGTACAGAGCATCGTGTCGAGAAGAATAAAAAGGTGGAATAATAAGCTGGAGTCTCAGACATGTAGTTTTCACTGTTTTCGCCAAGTTCTCATCTGTGGCAAGCATTGGCAACAAGAAGAGCTAAAATATACGGTACTATATATAATACGTGTAGTTACAAGTAAAAGGCAATGCTCGTCGCTAGAAAATCATCTTACTACGTAGTATTCATTAGCATCTACCAACTGTCTATGAATGCGCGCCTGTTAATTTCAGTACGGCACACTAAGCGAACGTGGCGGGACTGGATCAGGGCTTAAGATCAGCGAATCTTGGGAACTTGGTTCAGGTTTTACGACGGTAGGAAAATACTCCGGCGACAGTTCGTTCTCTCCTGCTTCGATCTTGAACTCGACGACATTCGTCTCATTCTTCATGTACGCGTGTCGGTACTTGCGCCATCCCCATGGGCGCCGACGAAGGAAGCGACGTAAAGTGTCTTGTAGACCCTTTTCGATCAGCTCGTAGAGCTGGAGCTCCCGAGGCGAGCGTCGTAGAGTGTCAATAATGTCGTCGAGTGGTACAAAACACCACCGAACACATTTGTACAAGCGAATCACGTCTTTCGCGCGGCCATTGTACTTGTGAGGCACTTGGTTGGGGGAGCTGCCGAGATAACTAAAGCTCTTGCCAAACACCAGCTTGTTCAAGCATCGTAGCAAGGTCCGCTCTCCGTGAGGAATACGTAGACGATCACTTCGCAGTACGAGCACGAGTGTCTCTAATGGCAGACGCTGCATCTCGGATACGACCATCAGATCCGACAGCTCCGTCGATGAGCCATGCGGGGCCGAGTAGAAGAGCGTTGCTTGCAGTAAGAAATGGTACAAACTGCACACAGGGTCCCCCCAGATGAAAAATCGGCCACGAAATTGTGCTTTCCCGGTACTTTCAGGGTGAAATGCTGCGGCGGAAACGACAGGGGCTAAGCTAGATGGAGAAGCAGGCACGAGATCACACCACTGACTGTACTTTTCGCGGCGATGCTGGTACTCGATCACAATCTCTTGAAAAACCTCTGCATGGTTTGGCTGGGCACGCCAATACTTGACCTTCATTTGACCACGTATCCAGAACTGAGGGTCGTTGTCAAACGCTGCATAGTCGTCCGGATCATTAGTAAGCAGTTGTGGTGACGCAGAACGGATGATCCGCCAAAGAATTGGCATCTCATCTGTGATGTCGATGCGAACTTGGAGCTGAAATTTACCGAACTGGAGTAGCGTGAACAAATTACCTTCGCCAGCCTTGACTTCGAGTTCCACGGGCTGAATTTCCATGTACGGTTTCCACTCCGGTGCAAAGTGACGGTGCATAGCGCGAAGCGAAGGCGGGTTTGGCGTCTTAAACCCGTCGCTGAGCCATCTGCTCAGTGCATCCAGTAAGTTTCTCCAGAATTCCACAAGTATGACGCTGTTAATAAGTCCCATCACTGCTCGAACCAGAACGTCGTGGTGCTTCAGTCGACCGATATAAACGCACTGCATATCTGTTAATACCTGGCAATACTGTTCAGGTTTCAACGCCTTGACGAAGTCCAGCAAACGATCACACAAAACCAGACGCATCTTCGTATCTGGCAAAGTCGAAGCTGCCCACAACATCTCCATCCATGTAGTAGTGGTAACGTGTCGAATAGCTTTGAGAAGGCAATAGTATAGCATCGTATGCCTCATCCCAAGCCACTGGCCCAGCTTCACGGCCCCCAGAGCATTGCTCTCCTTACAAACCCTCACCTTGAATCTATAGATATACTCGATTGACGTGACGACAGCGTCAATACTTGTTCCTTCGATCCTCACGTGCATCGCCCTCTTTGTTGTTCCTGCTGCCCCCAGCTAGGGAGAGTCAATGGACTCAGCACGTCCACTTCGCTGAACAAACTCCTGGCACGTCGTGGCTTCTGCACTTGTCCACTGGGCGGCTGGTTCTCGTCTGTCATCGCATCAGGATCTTGTCGCAGTCTCTTCCTCCGCTGGAAAATAACAGGACTGTCCTGAGAACTGGAAATCTGTCCTCCAGTGTCTCCACTACTCTGTCCACGATGAAACTTGTGGATAGCACAGCGTACGTAGTCTAGACGTAGGGCTTGAGGATCACGAAGTGGACACTTGGAAGCGTCCTCCGGTTGGTCTTGGAGCGCGCGCACCTCCTCGTTCTCCATTACTTTGAGAGAAATAGCTCCGTTCTTGGACTCCGGATGGTGGCGGAGTTGCCGCAACTGCTTGTAAAGCCCTGGACAACGATTCTGTAGAACTGACAGATGGAGCGCAATTGCGCATCCGTCCGAGTGCAGCACAACGTCCCGTGGATCGTTTTCGGTCGGTGGAATTGAGGATGAATTCGTGGACGTGATGAGCGACCTCAGAGGCTCAGGGCGAGTGGATGAAGCACTTGCTGGGGGATCTTCATTTACATAGTCAGTGTACGCATCGGTGGCTCCGGTGTCCAGCTGGAACACGCATCGCTCGCCCTCCGCTACGCGGAACATGAATGGAGGTGCAAAGTGGTGAAGTGGAGTACTACCGGTAGTACTTGAAGGCAGTAAGTACCGTAGAGTCAAAATGCTCTGCAAATTTAAGCTGATTATACTCTAATTATTTAAAGGCAAGTGAAAACTACAGTTTAACAGCAGTATTTCAGTTGAACAGTGTTTTTAACAGTCTGCGACGTGTGAGCACACGTTGAATGGTCTGAGCCAACCCAGCGAGTGCATCTGCCACCGTTATGCACTTTGCCTCGCTGCGCTATGTTGCTAAGCTGAAATTCGTCGCGTCAGCCAGCCCAGGGGCCTACAAGGACTGCACGAAGCATACAATTAGTTGGATGGCTGAACCAGATTTACATCCCATACACTCGCCAATACTCACGCATCGATCTTCCAGAGAGCTGGAATTTTAGGAAACACAATGTGCGAGTCGTAGTTCACAGTGAAAGTTTCGCTTCCAATGAACCCGATCGGCTTTCCAGCAGGAATACGTTGAAAATTTTCCTCCCCAACACCGTCAGCCCAACGGAAACCTCTGCTCGTTAGCTTGAACACCTGCGAGATCTCGTAAGCATCACGTGTAGAGAACTTCTCAGTAGCTCCAACGTCGTTCAATCTCACATTTTTACTGCTGCGGAGCTGTCCGTCCGCATCCACAAACTCAATCGCATCCATATCGTGGTAGAGGATCTGTAGTATACTGCGCGTAATACTATCAATCTTTGTTTGTGACAAATCAGTTGCCAGTCCGCTCTCGTAGCAAACACCCATGCCTCCATGAGCACCAACGAACTCGTCCGTCAACGCCACGTTCCCATCTCCAATGAGGTGTTTCGGGTCTAGCAGTAACATTTTTGTCGGCAGACGTCCCGAAATCTTCATCAGTTGAGGTGGCACATTATCATATCCTGAGAGTCTGACAAATGGTGGTGATGGTTTATTTGTCGAGTGCAAGTCCACCAACAAGTCGCTAGACGCAAAAAGTGGCGCCAACTCCTTCGCTCGACGTTGTTCGTAACTTAAATCTAGCTTCGATTCTGGAATTTCCATTAAGTCTCTTGGGAAGCAGCGGTTCATGTCCGCATGCGGCTCACTACCTCTCTTGCCAATGCGTTGCGCTCTTGGGTTACCGTAAACCAGCGTCACGGAGCCTCTCTTTATGCGTGGGAAGAGATTGTTGGCAGTAGACAACGGTGCTGCACGCAGGAGAGCGAGCCGCAATGCGTCCAAAACTTCCACACCGATGCGCTCGTTGCCATGCACCCCACCTACCAGCGTCACATTGGGTCCTACGCCTGTACCCACGCGAGAGAAGCGATACACACAGTCATGAAGCCGCTGGAAGTTGTTGAACATTACCAGTATCTAAATGATGCACAGAATCAAGTGCTTAAAAATAAGCTTAATGTCGCGAAATGATAACACCAATTGCATTTCGGATCTGATTTTGGATCGTTAATTCGAAAGATGTTGCGAATGGAGCTCGTCAAATTCTTGCTGCTTCTAGCAGCTATTTGCACTACTGCCAGCGCTGCTGAGGGGGCACGAGAGGTTCTGAGCAATGACATGTCCACCAAGACGCTGTACGCGCCGCCTACATCGTCGGAATCCGATATTCTGGAAGATGTGTGCATCCCCGTACAACTCAACTTTGCCATTCGCCATGGTACCAGGAACCCTACAATGAAGGACATCACACGGATTAACACTACGCACACTAGATTATTAAAAGCTCGTAACGGAGCGTCAATCACGTGGGTGGAGAGCTGGATAAATCCGTTCCCAATGGAAACACAAGCGTGGCTGGCGGATCCCGGTGTCCGCGAGCTGATTGAGATTGGCCACAGACTACGAGCTCGACTCTCTCCATTACCGGTATTTTATGATGCTAGTAAGTTCGTTTTCGAGCACACATGGAAGATCCGCACTAAGCAGAGTGCAGAGGCCTTTGCGTTCGGGTTCTTCGACGGTCTGCAGCCAGTATACTACCACAGCCACCCGATTGGGCAGGACGAAGTACTGCGGTTTTACGATAATTGCCCTGTATTTGAGATGCAGATTGACTCGAACAAGAGCTCTACTATTGAGCATAGCAAGTATCGCGACAGTGATCAGATGCGCAAGAATCTGGCAAAATTCCAGCGTCTGACAGGGTTTGCCGGTGCGACTCAGAAGGATATGGAGGCAGCGTACGCTGGCTGTGCATTTGATGTGGCGGTGCAAGCTGTGTTCGATCAGTGGTGCTCGTTCTTTGACGACGAAATGCTGCTGTCCATGGATTACTTTCAAGATCTCAAGCACTTTTACAGGAAAAGCCACGGCCATCCACTGTCATACGAGATCGCAACGCCACTGCTGCAGGATATCTTCCGTACGATGAAACAGCGAGTGGATGGCAAGAGCGATGTTGAAGGATTTTTTCGCTTTGCACATGCTGAGACCATTTTACCGCTGGCTTCGCTCTTGAATGTTAGCTACTTCGATCGGCATGCCAGTGATCATGAAGGACACTTCCGTGCAGACACACCGTTGGAGCTGGCACTACAGCGGAAGTTCAAGAGTTCCGAGTTGGCTCCATTTGCAGCCAATATAGGCTTTGTTCTCTATGAATGCGCAGATCCGAAGGAGGAAAGCAAAACGAAAACGACCTTCAAAGTGAAAACATTGCTTAACGAGCGCGAGGTGGTGTTCAAGGAGTGCAAGGGCCAAGATCTTTGTCCATTTGACGTTTTGGAGAACATTTTCCGTCGGTGGATTTATGAGTTCGACTTCCAAAAGCACTGCACGCTTGTATAACCAGTTTAATTGCAGCAGCAAGAAAGCATAAATCGATTCAAGAATGTATTGTTTGGTCTCTCTGACATCCTAGGTTGGTGAGACTAGTCCAGTCCATTGACGTCTGTATGAGTGGACGGCGGCATGTCATGCGGGTCTTCCTCGACTTGCTCAGTTGATCTCACTTCTGATGGCGGAGGTGGTGGTGGGAGCAGGAAACTGGATGAGCGTTTAATCAACTTTAGCTGCGTTTGTCCTTCCGTGTTGTCTGGTGCTGGAGATTCGAGGTTTCCTCCGGCCGTTGAGGTGTCATCAGTCGAGACGTTTGGGGCAAACACAATTGGGGCAGGAGGAGGTAACAGCATCGTTGAAGGAGTTGGGGCATCAGTTGATGCTGTTATCTTATCCTGATCAATGCCCTTAGCCTTCCTTTCGCTGCTGTTGATCGGCGCCTCCGCAGCAGGAGCTTCACCAATCCCCCCGGTACCAGCATGCGAGATCTCAAACGAAGCGTTGACGAAACAGTCTTTCCCTGATGTACTGGCAGACCCAACGGTGGCGCATTGATGCAGAACTTCCATACGTCTTTCGTCGACAGGAATCGTTCCAGTTGCAACAGCGACGTTTGATGAAGTAGGAGAATCATTATCGGTGCTTTGATTATTCTCGTTGACGGCGTTGTTGCCACCGAAATTGTGCTCGTCCGGTGCATTGACAACAGCTTCCCACCGCTTTTCGCGCTCTTGTTGCAGGAACGCGCAGTCTTGAACTGGGACGATTCTTTCTCCAGAGAACGGATTGATTTCCTCTGTCGTGTCTTCGTCCTCTGGGTTTCCGGCCTTGCATTTCCGTTCCTCCTCCTCGCGTCTTTTGCGGCGCCCTTCAATCACCATCTGCTCGAAGTACAAGAAGTTCTTTTCATCCCGTTCCTTTTTTTCACGACGAATTGCCTCCATTTCCTGGCGTTCAGCGTCTTGAGCTGCCTTCATATCTCCATTGGATGCTTCGAGAGCCTTTCCCCACGCCTCAACGCGACGTCGCTCGTCGTCGAAAACTGGCCGGTCGTCCAAGTACTTCAGTTTTCGGCAACGGTACACCATCGTCTTACGGTATTGCTTGATGTGTTTCACAGCTTCATTGCCCTGCAAGTACAAGACCTTGAGATTCGGCAGCTGGGTGAGGATATCTACGATGTCAGTATCGTTGATACGATTGCTCTGAATGTCCAAGACGGACAGGTTCGGCAATTCCAGCACATGCGCAATATCCTTTGCGGTCGTCAAATAATTCGACTTGAGTGCTAAGCTCTACCGGAGCGAAACAAACAGTTAGCTCCCGGAGAGCGACAAAGACAAGATCATTCTTTAGACGCACCGATAGCTGCTTGAGATGGCCAAGATTCTCGATGCAGGAGATCTGGTTCTGAGAGAGGTTGAGAGTGTCCAGCAGCAGCTGTGACTCCAGTCCCTCTATTTGCTGGATCAAGTTCTCATGCAGATAAAGTGTCCGTAGCTCCGTCTGGTGCTCCAACCCCTCAATTCGAGGCAATCCGTTGCCTTCGAGCCACAAGACCTTCAATCCCGTGTACTCTTCCAAATTCTTAATGCATCGAAAACCTTTGTAGTGCAGGTAAAGCTTGTCATTGATGGCTGGCGTCACGTACAGGTCGTTGTCCCGGCAGAGTTTCTTGAGCAGCTTCTTTTCCATTTCCATATTTGCGAGCAGGGTCACGCCAGGCGTCAGTGGGTGCTTCTTGCAAGGCTTGTAGTAGCGTATGTGAAGGACAGATCCGTTGCGTCTCTTCAAGATACATGTTGTGTGACGACACACCAAGCTTACGGTATCGTCCTAATCGAGGACTCCTCAAGGAGATATATTGCTATTACATGTGGGGAAAGAACGCGCGCTGGCCACCTAAGCCGAGATCGCAGTAGATACTAACACCTGCCCGACTACTCTGTATCGAACCGTGCTGCTTACAGCACGTTCACGCAGTTCAGGTCGCGGAAGGCCTCTTGCAGACGTTCGATCATAGTCTCCTCCGACTTGCGGACCCACACACGCGGGTCGTAGTACTTCTTGTTCGGGGCGTCCGGGCCGTCGGGGTTGCCGATCTGGCCCTGAAGGTAGTCCTTCTTCTCCTCGTAAAACTTGCGCAGACCGTTCCAGTACGCCCACTGCGTGTCCGTGTCGATGTTCATCTTGACAACACCGTTGCCCACGGCCGTCTGGATCTCCTGGGGAGTCGAGCCAGAGCCACCGTGGAATACAAAGAACACGGGCTTCTCCGTCGAAAGCGACTTCTCCTTGGCGACGTACTTCTGGAAGTCACCCAGGATCTCAGGGTGGAGCTTCACGTTGCCCGGCTTGTACACACCGTGCACGTTGCCGAACGCAGCAGCAATGGTGAAGTAAGGCGACACAGAGCCCAGCTCGTTGTACGCGAGCAGGATGTCCTCCGGCTGCGAGTACAGCGAAGCGTTGTCCACATCGCTGTTGTCCACACCGTCCTCCTCGCCGCCGGTAATGCCCAGCTCGACCTCCAGGATCAAATTCATCTTGGCCATGCGCTCAAAGTACTTCTTGCTGATGGCTACGTTCTCCTCCATCGGCTCCTCCGACAGGTCGAGCATGTGCGAGCTCCACAGAGGCACGCCGTGCTCGGCGAAGTACTTCTCGTCGGCCTCCAGCATGCCGTCAAACCACGGCAGCAGCTTCTTGGCGCAGTGGTCCGAGTGGAGGATCACAGGCACGCCGTAGTGCTTGGCCATGGCGCGCACGTGGTACGCGGCGGCGATGGCACCGAGGATCGAACCGTTTTGGTTCCTGTTGTCAATGCCCTTGCCAGCGTAGAAGGCGGCACCGCCGTTCGACGTCTGGATGATGATGGGCGACTTGATGTCGCGAGCGGCCTGCAGGGCGGCGTTCGCCGTCGACGACGACGTCACGTTCACGGCCGGGATGGCAAAGTTGTGCTCCTGGGCGTACTTGTACACCTTGACAACATCCTCACCGGTGAGGACGCCGGGCTGCACGATGTCGAGGAGACCCATCTTGAATTGGAGTAGGTGCTGGTTTAGATACTTGTGGTTCCAAGCAAGAACGGAAGTGAACCCTTCGTTTGCTGCTTGGTTTGGCTCGCGAGACATAGATAGGGGGATCCGGGTCAATTTTGAGAAACCCGTCTGGTATTTGGCCCACCCGGAAACGATTTGTGTGTGCAATCAACTAACGATTGGTGAGGCGAGAACGGCCAGTTAACCTCGGATTGCCTTTTCGTGGGGACCGGGTAATATATAACCTGCGAGTAATACCCTCATGAAAGGGGTCAAATTGCGCCTGTTGACAGAAGTTCAAGTTGCTATCTACCTTGTTTTATTACTACCAATCAAAAAGGTCACGTCGGCTCGTTTCTGGAATATGGACGTACTACGCAACTTGCAACATCGACTGGATGACAACGAACGAATATTATAGTTTGAGTAAGTTGTTTGATTCAATACTAAACTTACCACACTTGCTCACTCGTAATTATTCAACATGGTCCAGACTACTTTCTCCTTCAACGACGACAAACAGCTAGTGCAAACATCAAGAGCGTACGAAGCAGCAGGAAAACGGATAGTCTGGCGCGATGTTGCGCACCGCATGCGCCACACGAATCACACCACGGCAGCGCTGAAGCAGCGTCTAAGATCGCTGCGAAGAACGTATGGTAGCCGGCTTGCAGACTTCCCTCCCAGCTTCTTTGCAGAGATTATAATGCCGCGAGGACGACCTCCAGCCATCACGCGGCAGTTACGCGCCGTTGCTGCTGCTGCACGCTGGCAGATACCCACAGCGCCTACGCCGCCGCGTTTAGCTCGAGGTACGCGGCTCGTGGTCCGCACGAATACTTCATCGTCCCTAACCAGTACATCGGATCCGCATCCTGACCTCAGCACGGACGCCTCACCATCACTACCAAATGTGACCACCGCTCAGCGCGCAATTAGCGCAGACAAAGCACTATCTCCGCCCAATACAGAAGTCTCACAGCGCCTCAGTTCACCCACGGCCAGCACGAGTTCAGTACAGCCTTCACCAAGCGCTGAGAGCATCTCATCGGCAATGAACACATACATTACACAGTCCAAATCCAGCTCAGAGACTACGCAGAGTACGAGACCGGACCCACTGACACCACCTCGCTCGCCTTCGGCATTGGAGCAAGTAGTCACCAGTGTTTTCGCTGGTGTTCCGAGCAAATTGGTTCGTAACTACGATGGCAACGCGATATACAAGAACGTGGGAGAAGTAATGCATGTAGGAATCACAATGCTATTGCGCGAAGTTGGTGACATGGACAGCCGGGATATATTCATGGACATTGGCTCTGGTCTCGGAAATGTCGTCGCCCAAGTGGTCCTCGCCACAGACATTTACCGCGCAACTGGCGTTGAAATTCAAGAGTCCGTTCAACGAGCTGGCATCGACGCTATCAATGGTAGCCCATATGCGTGGGCCTTACGAGAGAGAGCGGTGTTTGTATGCAAACCCGTCGAGGACATTCGCCTGTCGTCGGATTCGCCCTTTGCCGAAGCAACCGTTGTCTATTGGAATAATGTGCTGTTTCAGCCGCCAGTTGTCGAGCACGTGAAGGAACAGCTATGTCAAATGGTGGATATTCGCTTTCTTTTGAGCTGTGTGGACCTCTGCCCACGCCACCGACCTCCATGCGTCTTCAGGTTTTGTTACGCGTTCGAGCTGCTGAAGGTTGATGACGTCCCTTGCAGCTGGAAAGCTGTAAGCCAGCACGTCTTTATTTACAAGTCAAAACACAACGAGTAAGTAGCTGCGATTCAATTTGAAGTGCTTGAACTTGAAGTTTTATATTTCTATAGTAAAGTCAAGAAATATACACACGTGATTTGCATACTTTAATCAAGACAAACGCACACATCCTTATCATACTTTAATTGAGATACTTACGCAGCGTGTGTCCCTACTAAATGAAAGATAAACGCACCCACAATTACCATAGAAATATCAAGCGACATGCTGTCTAAACATTTAGTGATAAGACAGGATGACCGGCTTCAACAGCGCCACTTTGCTTCAGTTTGTACAGCTCGGAGCTTGTACGCACCTTTCCTTTACTTGAGAAGAGCTTTCGAGGTAGATAATATCGGTGATACTTTTCCCAGCATGTCCACGCGACGTACGGGCACATGTAAGGCTGCGGAGTCGCCGTGTGAACGACCTGACAGAGGCTAACTCCGTGTAGGACGCAGTGATCAGAAACTTCAGTCGCGTAGCGGTCCTCCCATCTGCACACCACACATTGACGCCTCTTGCGGATCATTTCCTTGAATAGCTGCTTTGAATAGACAGCAGAGCAGCGCTTCTGCGGGCTGCCACGGACACCATCGACTCCGGTACTTCCGGCCATCCAGACAGCACTGACCGGTGGCAACGGCGTTGTAGTGTCTGCAGGTGCGGATTCAGTAAACAGCATGACGCGTTCACTAGGGGCTTCCTTCCACTTTCCTGAGAATAACTCTGATATGAGTTCAGCCATGAAGTCGCGGTGGGGATCTCGATCTGCGTCCATGTTGACTGCGAGCTTCCTTGTGAGAAACGCGTTTGCTCGGGCGACATCAACCAGCGCTAGTCCTAGCTTCTTGTACCATTTCTTAAACGAGTGACCATCCGCAACCGAAAACCGCCCTCGTATCTGGTCGAGGCGATCTACACCTTGCATGTGACTGTTATACTCTCGAACACAAGTTGGAGCACTGAAGGTGCGTTTTTCGGCTTTGACCTGGCGCTCTACGGTTGTTAGTGTAGATGCATCTGCATTTGAAACTACACTAACGATCGCGCTGTCGAACCAGGAGGCTGCTACAATGTTGTGTGCGCTGGAAACCGCTTGTCGTGATGTTCCTCGGCTACATTCTTTCCTAATCGATCAACACGTGACGTGGGAAATGAGCGCTTGACTTGCGGACTGTTCCTCTCGCATAAAGGCCTTTCAAGCGTAGTGCCTCAAGAAGCTGGACAGAGGTGTAGTAATTGTCAGAGTTCACTATACGTCGCGTACCATAAATTGGTCGAGCCACCTCCAACACGCACTGACGAATGACCGATGATGCTGAAAGCTCTTCTGACAACGCCCGTGCCACCTCCGGCGTTTTTACACCAGCGAGACGCTCAGTCAGGCTGCTTTGACAATGCAAGCGAAAGTTTAGCGATATCCATGACGTAGAACAGCACAGCATGTAGATACGGAAAAGGGGTATTGCCCACGGGCTTCATGGGGTTGTAGACGATGAGAGGTTTGCCATACTTGGAGCGGCAGGCAACGCTAGCTTCGTCAAGAGCCACATTTCTACCAACTTCCACGTACTTTGAGCCTAATGCCTTGAGCAAGTTGAGCAGAGGACGAATACGCGCGGCCTGGTCCTCGCTGTCCTGACTGGGAGACACACACCGGAACGTGAACGCCTGACGAAGCTGCTTGAAGCGGCGGAGCGGCATTATGCTCTTAAGTCCGACTGAGCTTCCACCAAATATAAAATCCTCGACCTGCGTTCCCCAATAGTTGCTGTACTCGTCCTTGTCAACAAGCGCCATATAAAACAGAATCCCCAGGAAGGTCATGATCTCTTGTAGAGCGAAGGGCTTCCCAATCGACATTTTCTTTAGGCGAGCATTAGTGTTCATTTCGCCAACCACTTGCTGCCAGAAGGAGACAGGAATGTAAGCGAAGAAACTTGAAGACGCTGAGTGCTCGAAAATGTGGCGAAACTCGGGGCGAAGGCGTGTTTTTGTTGTCGCGTCTCCGTGAGAGTAAAGATCACTTGGCTGCTCCATTTGACTCTCTGGATCGAAGCGAAAGTTCTTTATGGTTTCAACGTCCGCGAAATTACTTGGACGAATTTCAGGCGGCTCGTACGACTCCATATACTCCATGCACACCTCACGTCCGTCAGCTGGGCATTGAGTTTGAACGCGTTCTTCTGGATCTTCTGCACAAAGGCTCCCCCATCCAGGTCCTGCTGTTTGAACATGTAATGAGGTGTAGTTTGTGTTTCCACGCTGAATCATATTCAGTGTTAGATTCTCGACATGTGACTGAAACTGCGAGTCCAGCCACCGCACCTGGTACAACCCCTTTACTATCCGGCAGACCCTGCCAATGATGTACGCATTGCCGACACCAACATACTTCTTCGATGTTATCCAACCTTCCTTAGCGGGTGAGAACGCCACCAACATGTCCACATACAACGCGGCTATCGACGGTGATTGCGCTGAGGAACTCCGCCTCGATCGCTGAGCAGGCGATGGCGTCGAGGCTGCTTGGCTCTCACCAACGGACACATTTGATGTCGGTACGCTAGTACCAGCAGGAGTCGTAGCAGACAACATCTCACTAGTTTGTGCTGCCACGGTAGGTGCCGTTGGGGCGAGTGATGACACGGGCGGAGGGAGTTCATCGCACGGCGGTTCTGCAACAACTACGTCGCATACAGGTAGCTCTGAGTGGGTAGCCTCGTGCAGGGCTGTGTCTAAACTTCGTCTAGGTTTGTTCTTGCTTCCCTTCGGACGACCACGTTTTGGCTTGGGTTCGTCGATGGTTGTTTCGCTGGTCTTAGGCTTGTTCTTAGACCCCTTAGGCCTTCCACGCTTCCCCAGTCGTGATGAACCTTCCACAGACGCTGTAGCACTCGTCTCACCAGTTGAACGACGATCTGCTAAGACGGCGTGCACTTGAGCGCCTGAAGTGGTAGGCTCGTTGTCGTTAGTCGCTGAGTCAGTATCTGCCGCTTGCCCAGATGAAACGTCTAGGCGTGCAGCATTCTCGGGTCCAGCTACACTCTGGTCTACAGGAATATCTGCGTTGAAAACAGCTACTTGCATGGCGGGCACGCTTCTATTATCGAGCTCACTGCCGGCGGAGTTGTGGACGATTGCAGTTGTTCCTGTGGCCGTGGCTGTATGCGTGACGCTTGATTCCTGCTGTCGGTTGCTTGTGTTCTGGCGGCTCACTGCCATCAGGATCGAAGTCTTCTCGACGGGTGCAATTCTGTTGTACAGCGATCCACCAGCGGTCCTCATATGCCATCTATTTGAAGAGGTCGACTATACCTTTTGTGTCTGTTGA